GGGGTATCTGAGGCAGGCTTGAAACACAAGAGTCAGGGTGGCTTCTGGGTAATACCAGATGGCTAGGCCTCAGACTGACGAAGCCTCTTGGATGAGGGGCGAAACGTTTCTTTTTAACAAAAAAACGAAGTCCAGATGACATGATTCAACCTTTTTTGTTACTGTATTACAGTTTTAGAGCAGGGTGGGGGAGAGACGGAGACACATCTCAGCCGTGCGCACTGTCTGTACCAACAGGTTTTTTTTTTTTTCGGGGGGTGCAGAGACACATCTGAGAAGTGCACTGTTTGTACAGACAGTTTTCGAGGGGGGGGGGGGATTCAGTGTGAGGATTTAGCATGAGGGAAGAGGCTATTTTTAGCTTTTTAGCTAGCATACCTGCATTGCCAGCTGCTAGTTTAGCGTTACGTCAGTGCCGACAGGTGGTTTGGGTGGGGGGTTAGGTAGACGGGGCGCTCGGTGCTGTTGACGGGGCACCCTGCTTGTATAATGGTATGTGAAACAATGCATAATAAATGCGACGGGTCAGCGGTGACGTATAATAAATGTGACTTGTATGCCGAAGCGTCTTATGTTTTTTCCTCTTCATGATGCTTTTTTTTTTGACTGATGCGACTTATACGCTGGAAAATACGGTATATACTTTTGTAAAAGCTTTGAGTAAGATCAAAGTTCAAATCTTTTTGAACCGTTCTATAGAAAACTATGAACAAACCGTATCTTAATTCTTGAAGAGAGCGTGTTGAATGGGTGTAATTCGTGGCACGCAGCCTGTGATGCATACGATTTCTGGACTGGTTACTGCGCTCCTTTATATTAAGCTTTAATATACATATAAGTCAGTGTTTATTATGTGAAACAAGTTTCAAAACGATCAGCATGCATCTGTAATCCTGTTTATGTGAGAGTTCTGCTCTGCCAGCTCCTGCTCCCACAGTCAGACTTGAATTAGCCACACCTGTGATCCTTTGACTTGATGAGCATGAGGAGCATAAGGGGCCTCAGAAGACACTCAGCCACCGCTGGAGCATTACCTGCCAACGGTAGTCTTGTTCTAGCCTTCTGCTTGTGTTTAAAGATAAATATCAACGACTTGTGCTTTTCTCCGTGCGTTACCTTTGATGTCCTGTTTTCCTGACTCCACCTCTGCGGATCGCGAGCTCCTCTGTGCCTCATCAGCTGCCTCCACTCCTTCCCACCACTTGCCTTTCACCTGCACCTCCTTCACTTGGAACTATTTGGGTCAACTCTCCCCACGCCTGACCCCAACCTCCATCGTAAGAAAGAACTGCAATATCATTATCACCCTTGACATCAAGGACTTGTCTCGAACCCTCTCTCTTCTCGTCAGGGTTCCAGCCCCTCCCCTGGATTTTTGCTTATATACCTTGTAAATAAACTTAAAACTGATTCTGAGCCTTGGTGTCTGTTCTCATTGGTCCTTATATCTGGATGTAGCAGCAATATTCACAGTTTATAATCGCATGGCAGCCCTTTGATAGAAATCTTCTAAAGATTCCCACCTTTTGTCTGAATTAACCTCAGTTTCTTCAAAACTACAGAACCCCAATTTTAAAATATTGGGGTTTTCCCTTTTAAAAAAAACAGACATAAATGATTGATTTCAGGTTCAGAGTTAGATTTTATTTTATTTTTTTTACTGGGAAAAGTTTCCTTGAATCTGTAGTCCTCTATGCAGATGTTGAAACATCAGTTTTCTGTTGCATTACCATCTAAAACAAGTACTGTAATTTTTACCGTATAAGTCGCACCTTTTTGCATACATTTGCACGTCCTGCGACTTACTGAAGTGACTAATATACATTTTTTTCCCCATATTTATAATCCAATTTTTGGCTGAGATCTGACTATTTCATGAGTTCTGACATGAAAAATATCAAACATTACCATTTGCAGCCGTTAGAGGGCCCTCAGACATTATGGCAAGCCAAGTGTCTCATTAGTAGGTAAAAGTGGCTATTAATGAGACTCTTGGCTTGCCATAGCGGCCACCTTCATCTCGCTCTGGAACTCCTGGAGCAAACATCAAATCAGCTGCATTTCGCCTGGGCAGCGCGGCGAAATGCAGCTGATTTGACCATCAAAGTGCATTTATTATAGAAAAGTTTAACTGAGACACATCTTTACTATAATGTTAAGCAAACAAATAATTGTTTTTAAGTGTTAATCTTGTTAAAGTCCTCCCATGCACGCTCCCGCTGCCGCCATTTGGCAGCCAATCGATTTTTGGCAGAACACTGGCCCATGTTTGTGGGTGGTCAGCGGTGACGCATAATACATGCGACTTATACGGTGGAAAGTACGGTATCCTCCTCCTTTTACTAAGGATGGATGTTTCAGGCTGTAGCAGCGGGTCATCTAATAACATGACAAATTCTCTTTTTTTTCCCAGGTAGTGGCACCACTTTAAAAATATAGTGTAGATTCATTTGGCGCTCGCCAAGTAATAACCCCTTACAACATGTGATCATCTCTGTGAGGAGTGACTGCATCCTTGACTGCTCGCCAACGTAAAGGTTGCTCTGCGTTTCTTTCCCAGATCACCCAGGAGCAGTTCCTCCTCGCGTCTCAGTCCGTGCACCTGCAGCGGCCGGGCTGCGATGCCGTGTACCCAGTGGGTCTGTGCGGCTGGAGGAAACGATGCATCTATTTCTTCCTGCTGCTGCTCCTCGTCACCATGATCGTTAACCTGGCACTCACTGTCTGGATCATAAAGGTCATGAATTTTTCAGTGGTGAGTCTTTTTCGCTGGGGAGAAAACTGTCCAAACTGGTTATTTGAAAAGCAGAAAATGGAAGCATATTTGGAATTTGGTCTTGGAGTAGATGTAATAAGGTTTAGTTAAGGCATGGGTGGTGGCTAATAAGAAGCTGCCAGCTGTTTGTTGGCTCTAGATAAAATGGTTTAATTAAGAAAATAAATATTACGATATAATAAGCAAATAAGTCTCTAATCGTCCCCTGTCGCAGAGCGGAGGGGTTTTGGAAATCCCCTCCGTCTGTCCATCCAGTTCATCTTGCGAGCTTGAAAACTAAGTGAGGTACCGACTTCCATTTTGGTGTGTGGCAGCATCTAGGTGTAAGAAAGGTCTATCGAAAATTGGGTTGCCGCGCCAAAATCCAAAATGGCTTCCGCCATGTAAGTCAACCACCCAATTACGGGCACAAATTCCAGTCATATATTTTGTGCCTGTAAATTAGGATGAGTACTTGTGAATACATTTTGCACCTTGTAAACTAAAATGTCTGATAATTATATCTTTGTGCAACCGTAGATAAGAACTTATGTGTGTGTAAGAAAGATTTGTATTTGTAAAAATTTATTGCACAACTTACACAATTTTTTAAGGTCTATGTAGAGATACAAAGTAACAAACTACGTGTAGAGTACTCGGGTCCAAATAATTCGAACCGACCCAGCCACAGCCCGCAGTCACCATCTCCTAACCCCACCCGATCAGACGAATTAACAGTAATTACAGGTCCGAACCCAAACCCCCCCCCCCCCCCCCCCCCCCCCCCCCCAACGTTTTTAATTAGGCTTTGACTGCTTATACCACTGACTATTATTAATGGTCGGCGGATGCGTGCGGCTGAGGGGGCAGAAGGTCAGAGCTGAGGAGCCATCAAAGCGCATTAAATGCTTCCCCTGTTTCTGCCTGCATTGGATGAACCCTGCTCTGACGTGGAATATTTTGTGATCTCACCTGTTTGGGTTGTTGGCAGTAGTCCATCTGAAGCTTAACTGAACTTTTTACCTCTTTCAACCGGCCGGTCAGCGCACAGTGAAATGGTCGCATAGTAGTGTAGTATTTAAATTTATCATGTGATTAATTGATTTATTGTTTATCACGACAGGCCTAACTGACATGAACCAAACCAAACATGAATATGGACCACGCCGACTGTGGAGGAATGCTGTAGAGCTCGCAGCTCCGGCCGCAAGCTCTACGTCCCCCAGCCTGTGCCTTGCTGCTTCCCGGGGCCGCAGACCATGCGCCTCACTGCTCCCTTCCTCTCCGCTCTGACGGCGGAGGGACGGGGCACGACTGCCAACTAGGGCGGACCGTTTTCAGTCCTGACACAACCGCGATGCGCTGCGCCGCCCAGGCAAAATGAGGCTGTTTTGACCATTAAAGTGCATTTATTAAGGAAAAGTTAAACTGAGATGCACCTTTGCTATAATTTCGAGCAAACAAATAATTGTTTTTAGCCGGTAATCTTGTTAAATTTCTAAGAACTACAACGGCAAGTCCTCCCGTGCATGCTCCCATGGCCGCCAATTGATTTTTGGCAGCCAGTCGATTTTTGGCAGGACCCATGTTTCCCAGGGGGTCAGCGGTGACGTATAATAAATATGACTTATACTCTAAAGTGACTTATATATGTTTTTTTCTCTTCATGAGGCATTTTTTTGACTGACTCGACTTATACTCCGGAGCAATGTATAGTGCAGAAAATAGGATAATGATCATATTGTATACAAAATATGCACAGTTTATAATGTACACACAGTATTTACAGTAATTCTAATGTGACCAACATATACTTTGCAATACGTTAGTCAAGCATGTTTCTCTTAAGTTTTTTTCTCCTCATTTTAGCCTTTAAGACCTAGTGGCAAAATGTAGAACAGAAAGCTCATTTAAATTTTATCCCAGACCACCATCATGTTGTGGTCTTTGACTAATCTTAAAGTCTCTGTACCTCCAGACCTGCTGACTCAGACTGAATTCATCTCCACCAACATCAAAACCAGCAAGTGCTGTGAGCTCCAGTGACATTTTCTGGGACAATGCACACAATTTACCATTTTGTCAACAATCTCCCAAAAGCAACAAACCCTTTGTGTGGCGAAGGCGTCTCCTGACGATTGCTATGACTCCTTACCCCTTCCATCAATCTGTGTCGAGAGTTAAAGACCTTATCAGGGCTGTTGGTGGAGAACCAGAAAATGCACTTCACTCCTCCAAATCTCTCAGGATGAAGCAAGCTTCTAAAAGTAATGAAAATAAAACAATTCCCCATTTGTATCGTAGTAGAGATTTGTTCTGGCTTTGGCGTTCTCCTATCAGGTTTCTATTACCGTAATTTTAAAGCAACTTTAACAAAAACATTCTTCAAATTCATTGGTTTATTTCTATATGAATGGTCATACTTATGAATTGTATGCATTATATATGAATTTGTCAAATTTAAATGTTAGTTTAGGAATTAACATGATCTGCACAATTAAATATGCCTAAATCCAGCAGAAGTAATAGGCTAAATAAAACCTGCACAAAAATACAAGCAGTTGTCAAGATCGCTTCTCCAGGAGCTGTTTCTTGTTCCACAATGGAGAAAAGAAACAAAACGTTAATATTTTTTCTTGTATTTTACTTAAAACTTTGCTGAAGCCGACCAAGGTTAAGAGAAAAACGAGCGAGGCTGGGGAAGGACTTCATCTCGATGAATGAACACAACTCAACACAACACCGGTGTGGAACAGCATTAACAGTTTCCTCTCACTGGAAATTATAGCAGACAGATGTGTCCTGCTCATCATAGCCTTTGTGTGCCTTGTTTTTCTGCTTTTGTTCAGCCTAAAAATACTTTGCAGAGTTACAAACCATGTGATTGTCAGCTGGCATGAAGTACTCCCATGCTTAAAACATACATAAAAAGAATTGTCAGACTTCATAATCAGTTATGCCAGCTGTTTGTGGCAGCCCTATTTACTACACCGCTGTCAATTTTCCTGTTCCTTTTTTCTTTTCTTAAATTTCTCGAGCAGATAATGTCAGAAACATTTACTAATATACAATATTCCTCTGCTCAAAGGAGTGGGGAGAAGTATACACTTGTATTAGCTCACCCCTTTCTCCTGCAACCTTATTCCCATCACTTCTCATTCATAAATAAATACTTATAAAAATATTTTTACTATTAAAGAAGTGAAAAGGAAAAAAAAAGTCAATAGTAATTAATAATAAATAAAATTAATAAATAATTAAGTGCGTTCCAAAAAGTAGAACCCCTGTGACTATCATCTTAAGACAATAATACAATGTATGGTCACATAAACCAGTGTTTCCCCTACCATTATATACCATTATTATATACCATTATACAAGCAGGGCGCCCTGCCTTGTCAACAGAACCGAGTGCCATGCCTACTGAACCCCCCCTCCACCCCCACACCACCCTGTCAACAACTGTCAGCACTGACGTAGTGCTAAGCTAGCAGCGTGCAATACTAGGCCTGTCACAATAAACAATAAATCAATTAATCGCACGATAAATAAAAATTATCGACCTCATTTTCATTTATCGGCTTTATCGTTTCTTTGTGTCTCTCTCATGCTACTGAAGACCCAGCGCAACTCCGGTGTTCTTCACTGACTCCTCCCTTTCACGTTTTTCTTTAAAATCTATTTTAAAGAACCAATATCGCATTTTTGGATCGTTAAAAGCAGCTATGCTGAGAAGCTAAGTTACGAGCTAAGCTAACAGGCTGACCTTGGGGAAAAGCCTCCGTCTTGCCGAAGCTCCAAAATTCACGGTTGAAACCCATGCCTTCGTGTAAAAAGTTTTCCTCTGGAAAAAGAAGCCGAGAACTTGTTTACTGAATTTTTTTATGAAAAGCTTTATGTGAAAAATGCTATGCTAAAGAGCTCAAACCACACCCAGGGTCCACCATGTCACCCCACGTCACATCAAGGGCCCTCCCTCCCATTTTTCTTAAAGAGACGCTGCTCAACTGTCCATCCTTTGGTTCAAACAGTCTTATACTGCCATCCGGTGGTCAAAAACAGGTGCTACACTCAAAACAAATCAACATTTCTTATTAAATTTGACAATTACTAATTATTGTAAAATTTCAAACAATATTGTCGTTTATCGCAATAATTTCTGACAATTAATCGCCCAGCAAAATTTGTTATTGTGACAGGCCTACGCAATACAGACACGCTAGCTGAAAAGCAACAGACGTAGCGTTCCGCTTCTGTCATGCATCCCCCACTCGACAACTGCCAGCACTAACGTAGTGCTAAGCTAGTGCGCAACACGGACATATCCGCTCAGATTAGCTGTTAGCTCATTAATCTGGTCACAGTTTTATCCCATTTCTCTAAACAGAAGTCATTCAATAAGCTGTGTACAACAGGCAATATACTTTGTATTATTTTACATTTCCACTGAACACTATTTCAAAAGGTCTGAGCCACGATTTTAAGGACAGCAGTTATTTGAAACGGGGTAAACTTTACTTTTTAATAAACGTGACGGCATATGGCTGATATTTTTCAACCTCCTGAACATTGTGTTTCTGTTGAATGCTCTACTTTCACTCCCACCTTCCACTGGACCTTTCACATACAATTATTCCCCTCCCCAAAAAGCCCACTAGTGACTGTAGCATCTGTCTGCTGACATACAAAGACCTCCGCTCTTCCTGCACCCTCCTTTGATTTTGTTCTCCTGTCTGTCCCCATTCACCTGCTCTCATGTATGATGGAGCTCTCCCTGCTGTTGCTCTGTCTCCTCATTCCAGTAGCGCCTTCCATTTGTGCTGCTGGCTCAATGTACTCTTTCAGCGCATCCCTCAGGGCCGAGCTAAGCATCCACACAAAAGATGTTCTCACACCACACGTTGCTCGTTGTGCCGTGTTAGAGCCAATCTTGTCCAATTTTAGTTGAATTACCTGGAACAAACATTTTCTGACCTGATGTGAAATAGAACAAGGCCATC